TGGTCGCCAATGCTTGTTATTGTAGACCATTTGCATATCCAGTACAATGGGTTTTTGCTTGGGATTTTGTTGATTTCGCTTTCGTGTTTGGAGGAAGGGAGGGACTTGATGGGTGGTCTTGTTTTTGCTGTGTTGTTGTGCTTCAAGCATTCGTTTGTGGTTGCGGCCCCTGTTTATTTTGTTTACTTGTTGAGGCATTATTGTTGGAAAGGATTGGTGAGGGGTTTCTGGCTGCTTTCGGTTTTGGGGGCTGTTGTTGTGGCTGGCTGTTTTTACATTGGCATATGGCCCGTTTGTGTATCATGGGCAGGTAATCTCTCAGGCTTCGCCTTTTTGTTTTTGAAATGGTTATTTGCAATCTTCATATTAGTCTAATCTGCTGCTATGAAGCAATCTCGGAACATATTAACATTTGCTTTCTGACTTGTCGCCCAAACAAAGAATAGCTTTGGATTTGTTTTCCACAAAAAAAATGGGATTTTGAGGAGAGCTGAATATATGTTAATACTTTGTAAACAATTAGTAAGAGACTTACAGTTGTGCCATCTCTTCGTATTGTGTTTCATGTATCTTACTATTGGAAATCAAGACCATCTGGAGTCGTATCTTTATTAAGTGGATTAGTCGATAATATTGCATTAGCGTCATAAAGCCATTGAGCTTCCTAACAAAGAGTAATGATGTACTATCATTTGTTGTCTGAGCCATACATAAGGAAAGACAGATTTTATTGACAGAATATTGAGCAAATAGGGATTCTTTCTGCTGTTAGAAAAGCAGATGAAATCTCAAAGTAGAGCATCTTGAAATAATTACCTAGCTGAAGGAGCTGCAGCTGCATTAGGTTTGGCAGGGTAGAACCTATAAATTGAATGTTGCTACCCATGGCTCCCATAAAGTTATAAACCATGCAAGAATGGTGCAGGATGTAATGAGCCATCTCTGTGTGGCCTAGAAGTTAGTTCCATTGATGAGGTTTGGATTAGGTATATGAACTGAAACGTCGTTACAGGATCTGAGGTAACACTCAAAGTTGGTTTGAATGGTTTAGTTAGATCCTTATGAACATGAAACTGAATAGAGGATGTGTGAGTGTGTGTGTGTGTGTGTGTGTGTGTGAGAGAGAGAGAGAGAGAGAGAGAGAGAGAGAGAGAGAGAGAGAGAGCAGAGCTATGTTTAGGCTTCCCTGGGCTGTAGCACGTGACAGTTGTTGCCCAATCAATTTTTGAGAGAGAGAGAGAGAGAGAGAGAGATAGTAGAGCTATGTTTAGGCTTCCCTGGGCTGTACCATGGGACAGTTCTTGCCCAATCAGTTTTTGACCGAGTTTTTTCCATTTTTAGGCTATGAAAATCAGATTTAAATAACTTTATCCCAGGTTTTATTAGTCTGATAAGTCTAATAAAAGTCATTAAACTAATTATAGGTGCAAGTAAGCCTATTTAACTGATTATCATTCCATTTTTACTCTACACTCTCCCCTTTTCAAGCCATAATTGGTGGTTTTTTCATCACATAATTGGTCGTCTTTGGTTAATTTTTTCCCTTTTTTTCATCACATAACTGATTATCATTCCATTTTGCGCTATGATGCTTATATCTCAACTGGAATCTCTAATTGAGTATAAGTCTGTTTTGGTCATAGTAAGGTTCCAGAATATGTTGTTGGTGCATAAATTAATAAATTGTTGGTTCATTAACTGTATGCATGAATTGAGTATGGTGCATGGTAAGGTTCCAGAATACCTGGAAATTGTTGGTGCACGAATGATTGATTTCTTTGTTTGTATTTTGATTAAGATGAAGAGGATTTGGATGAATGATTGATTTCTTTGTTTGTATTACCTTTTGAGTGATGAATTTGGATGATATTACCTTTGAATGATGAATTTAGATGATATTATCTTTTGAATGACTATGGATTTGAATGATAAATTGAGAATGGATGTTTATTGTACAAAGTATTATTTTTTATACAATTATATGTATAATATATAAAACATATATATATATATATATAAAAGAATTTAATCCCGTGAGGGTTCGCCTCATGCCTCACGCCTAGGCCGGGCTATCCCTCGGATGCCTCAGCCACGCCTCACGCTTTTAATACATTGATCATACTAGATAAAGTGCTTGCTTTCGTTCTTGGAAGACTTGATTCAACATTCAGGCACCAGCTGCATCATTCACTGGTGGGCTAGTTGGGGATTCATCCCTTTTGCTGTACTACCTCAGGTAATTCTCAATGGTCAACTGTAAGGAGGTGCAATATAATAGGATAACATTTCAGTTTATCAAATCAAATGGGCAAACAAAACTCCTCGGTTGGATGGTGCTGCTTGTTGACTGTTCCGACATCATGTAATTTTGAATAGGTGGTAGGATTAGGTTGTTCTGGTTCTTATAGTCAGCTCTCCGTAAACCTTATGCTCTAGAACTAGCAAAGCAATTAAGTAACTAAAGACTTCCCAATGCCCAATTCAATTGTTTAGCTTGAGCGTATGACCAAGCGGAAGGAAGAAAGCTCTTCACCCCCTGTTAGTATGTTGAGCGCTCTTGATTGATGAGATGATATATTCTATTTATTGTATTCAGAACTAGGTTATTTTACTTGAGAGATATAGTTTTTTATTTCTGCATTTTCTTAAATGTTTTTGGGTCCTAATTTTTGTGAATTGATGAAATGGTAGGTTACCCCTGCGACAACCTTTATCCTGGTTCTGATTGCCTTATCTGCTTGTCTCAAGCTTGGAGACATCGACAGCCATGGTTGATTACAAGATGGGTAGCCTATGCATACACATGAGAAGGCACCACTCCACTTTGTCATCCCCGTTGCCATTGTCGCATTGCAGAGTTTGGATAATGCGAAGCATTACTTCTTGTTATCAATTGGTATGCTTCTTCTTGCTTTCATTTCTTCGTAGAGAAACGAGGGGAGATTTGTTGAGTGGGGGTTATCAGCTTCAGGATCGCTGCTAAACTGTTATAAAAAGGTTTCAATACATCTTCAAAGCTTCAATGTTAGGGAGTCTTGACTAAGATCACTGAAACTGAGTATTTGTAATTGATGGAGGGAAAGAACAAACCTTTGCATACAACACCCGAGCCCAAAAAAAAAAAACATTAAAATATTTGATTTGATCTGGTATTCTACAATTATATGATTGGATGTCCATTATGCTGAAAAATAAATAAAAAATCATTCAGATGTATTGCTATTTAGAATTCTTTTAAAAAAGTTTATCTGAGCCATGATTTCAGCGCTCTATAGCTTTCTTTAGTATCAAAATTTCCCCAAAATAGGGCTGATGTGCGGCAACAGTGTGTGTAATAGTATTCAAAACAAAATCTTAATGTGTTGGTTTTGTTTGCTGCTCATTCATTCATGTTTTCTGTGCAGTTTGCTGCGAAAGGTTTTATAGCACCCAAACCACTCCTCTCTCTCCTTTCTTTTTTGTCGCATTCTCTTACCCCCTTTTGTCCTGTGGTATTTCTCTCTCTCTCTCTCTCTCTCTCTCTCTCAAACTTTACTAACATACAACACCTAAACACTTTCTTCTCATCATCAAAATATACAAAAGGAGGAAAAAAGTTGAATTTCTCCATGAATGGTAGATACAAATGTTAATGCATGAATTAAATGGAGCATCGTAAGCAAGTTGTGTAATGTAATTATTTGTCGTAACAAAATATAAACGTTTTTGAGTAGCTGCTAATCACCAAGGCATGCATATAAACTATTTATTGAGTAGCTGCTAATCAAATTCGTGTGTTTTTATTTTTGAAACAATAAATACTTGTTCACTCCCGATTTCTGAGACGATGCCCATGCTTACAGCATCTGCTTCTGTTTTCTCGCTCCTCGTCTTGCCATGATCTAAAAAGTATAAAACAAAATTAAGCAACATTATGATATATGTCACAATTATGTTTTTTAAGGAACAAACACTTTATGTGTTTTTGTCTGAAAAAGAAAAAGGTACACAAAATATACAATTAATGTAAGTAGCATACTTACCGGTCATCCACTTTCTACTTTCTTCCGTGGGAAACAGAGATAAATAGCAAACAAAATGTAAGTAGCAGCATACTTACCAGTTAGTTATCCACTTCTCTATCCTCCCGAATACCTGTTATTATAACAGAATACTTGTTATTATAACAGAAGGCACGTGTTGAATTTTGTAGAAATCCTCTCCTCCTTCCCCAACCCTTCTACCGAATTCCCGATCCATGCCTCTGATTGTTAGTTCCTTGAGGGTACTAACATGCTCAAGCCCCTCAGGAACTGCTCTCAATTTGCTGCACACGGAAATAGACAATCTGCGGAGACTACGCATACCTCCTTTCTCTATGCTCCAACTCTTTAATAGCCCCAAATCAGAAAGTGAAAGAAATTCAAGATTAGGATAACCTTCTTCTGAGACAACTACTTCTGAAACATTCTCATCGATACTATCATCACGCAACCGAAGCATTCTTAAGTTTGGGATCTTCTCAAGTATTTTGAGACTCTCCAACTGTAGTTTAGTCCGCCACAGCGACATCTTAGTGAGGTTCTGATAACACTGGAGACCTTCCAATGATTGATCTCTCATTCTCCCTACCAACTCAAGCTTGTATATATGAGGACAACTCAATACCATATTCATTTGTATACCTTCTCTATAAGAGTGCACAGATAGAGATCGAAGATGGTTAAATGTGATGCCAGTAGTTTTCAACATTTCCTCCATATTTTTCACCCCACCTTTTATGAACAGTTTTCTGAGATTGGTCAATTCAGCAAGACGAGTCAAATCACAATCAGCACCTGCAACATTGACTAAACTCTGCAAATTCCCAAGAGCAGCCAACTTCAACCTCCCTCCGTACCAATCGGATAAATATAAATGTCTCAATTCTTTCATCTTCCAAATCACATTTGGTACTTTTACTCCCCATGTAGACAAGCGTAAGTCTAGAGTTTGCAAACATACCAAATTACCTAAAGATGATGGCAACCCTTCTACTCTACTTCCCCTTAGACTTAAAAACCTTAAGTGGACTAGATTCCCAATATTACTCGGCAATTCTACTTCTCTCCTTATGCCTTCATACTTTAGAACCCTGAGCAATTTGAAGTTGCATACTACTGACCGCAAGATTTTTTTCTTCCAGTTGCAGAATCCAGATTCTGTGTCGACAAAGAATAACAAAGACCTAAGGTGGTCATTTCTTGTGGGAGCAAAGCTTTCAACAAATTCTGTTTCCACATGTACAGCAAGTCTTCGACCTTTAGGAATTGTCGCTGTCTTCGTTATCGTGCTGGTAAAATTTACAACGTGAAGAAAGTTCTCCTCTTCTGCCTTTACCAAGCACAAGTCTCGCATAAGATCATGAAGATGACATGTTTTGATCCTCTTAGTTGCACCAAGTGTTCCAACTTGAACCATACATCTTTCCACCAACTCACTTAAGCAAGCATATGCTACATCTTCCAATACTTCCGCTGAACCATGTCTTTGGGATGCTGAAGATATAAAACCTTCTGCTATCCATAAACGAGTCAATCTTTGGACCGGTATCTCATAATCCTCTGGAAAGTGGCCTAAATATAGAAAGCATAGTTTTAAACGATATGGTAAGTCGTCATAACTCAATGCCAACACCTTTAATGCACCTGCATATTCTTGATCGCCTTTGTATTCTTGGTCAAGATTAGTTCCTCTCCGTATATAGACATCAACATTCTCGTATACTTTTTTCCACTCCTCAACTGTGACTTTTCTAGCTAGAAGTCCCGCAAGCACAGTAATAGCTAATGGTAGACCTGCACAATGTTTAAGCATCTCCTTTCCTAGTTCTTCCTTCTCAGCATCAATTTTAGAGTCTGAAAATAAAGATAAAAAAATGGTTAACAACTATGTCCTAGACTAGTGCTTCCTAAGATATTCTATATATGTTGTCAATGTACTTTTGGATTGTTGAATGTATTTGACAGCAGAACATAAATATTAGTGTCTGATTTCTCAAGAAAATGAATTTTGGAAGGAAGAAATCATAGTTACTTGAAATGCAGTTAGGTTTAATCAGTATCAATTAAGTTTAATAGTTAACTAAAGTTATTAGTCTTGGTTGATAACAAAGTAGAATAATTTTTTAAGTGACAAGATGAAAACGAACAAGATTTCGAGTTCATAGCATCTTTTGAATTATTTTTCACAGCTAGGACAAATTTTTAATGGAATTTTGGAATGCGACGTGACAGTCAAGGTGTGGCTGACTTGCCACGTGATAGCTGCTTGAGTGACCAGCCAGGAGGGGTGCTGAGAAGTGGTACGGTGCACCTGATCTAAATCATAAGACCTGATGGTTTTTCTTAGTTCTCGAAGCAAAGTCTGGAGAAACATTAAAAATCATGCCATCTCTTTCACTCAAACACCCATATATATATATATATATATATATATATTAAGAGAAGATCCACTGTGAACTTTTTTTCCCTGCTTTTTCTAATTTTGCCCTCACTGTTGAGACACACTCTTGATAAAAAGAATGGCAAAATAGTAATTTTGTATCTTTTGACAAAATAACAATCATATTTCTATTTTTCTTATTTTGCCCTCACTTTTGATACACAATATTTACATACAAAAGGCAAAATGGTAATTATGTAATATTAAGAAAAATATGCCCTTATTAAGAGATCTCATCGTCATTGTCTCATACTCTTTTTTTAAATTTTAAAAAGTAATCACTCTTTAATCAAAAACAAAAAAGAAAATGAAATTGTTCACACACAAAGTGTGTGCACATCTTCTAGTTTAAATTAAAAAAACCCCCAAATCAAATTATTTAAATCGAAAAAAACGCCCAAATAAAATTATTAAGAAAACAAAAAAACCCAAATCAAATATTCTATCATAATTTTTTATGTACTTCACCAAATTCAATTCCGGATTTCTGGAGAAAAAAAAAACATTACAATTTACAATGTTGGAGATTTATGACTACATAAGCTTTAATCATCGATTTAAAGTGTTGATGTTGGGTAGATCCTTTTGGAATTTCAGTTGAGAATTAGAGAGCATGTTGCAGGCTTGATTTAAATATCTGGAATCGTTTTGTTGTTGAATCTGGATTGAATTATGTAGTATGATTGGAAGTTTGAACTTTGGACTAAAATGGTGATTTGGTATTGGAAGTCATCATAAATGATTTGGCCCAGTTTTGGTATGAAAATGGAAGAATGAATCTGAAATTTTACCCCTGTTGTACAGTTCCTGCAGATAGGACCTTATTGTAAGGTTTACTAGGTCCTTATTGTAAGATTTATTGAAGTTTTGGAGCTGTTGTGTAATATTCAGAAATTAAGGGGTAGAACTGTAATTACCCAAACATTGTGGTTAATTTATGTAACTCGATTGCACAGAAACTTACTATTTGTCCAGCAAGGCAGCGTGTATAAATGTGAGATTTATTTGTCCAGTAAGGGTGCATTTTTGCTCACTATCATAATTATGGTATATGTTCATCACACGTCTAATCATTTGTAATGTGTCCGTAAGTTTTTAATTTTCATATTAAATGTTACATTTTCAATTTTGAAAAAAATTAACTAAGGTTAAATGAAACAACATACGATAGATGATTAGATGTATAGTGAACATATATCATAATTTATGGTGGTGAACAAAAATCACGAATTTATAATATTTAAACGGTAGCATAAACCTAGTGTTGTGAAATAACGACTAAGTTCGTGGTTGCTATATAGGGATCATATAGTAACCTATTTATTTCTTTTATGGAACTGGGAATTCCAAATATATTGCAGGGAAAGCTTAACATTGGTGCACTGTGATGTGACGTTGGTACAAGCTTTGCTTTGGACTCCAGGTAGGAGAAATACGATAAATCTTTACGGACATTGGCTTTATTAAATTTTGTGAAGATATTTGATTTTATTCGTTGAACATTATGGTTGAATGTTAATATTGTGCATCTTTGGTTTGAAATGTTGTTGTTGAAAAACATTGTGATATATGTGAAAGATGAAATGACATAGTTGTGGTCTACTTATGTTGGGAGTTGAGGATGGAACTTAGGTATTGAGAAAGGAATTGAGGATAGTGTAAATGATTTTTTGTGTAGTTGAGTTTAACTATCTCAAAAAGGGATGGATTGCGGTTATGACGGATGGGTAACTACGTTTATTTATCCATAATTATTTAAGCTCTTACCCACATAATCATTTACCCATTGGGTGATTGCATAAATAGTTATACACATATCCATTCATAAACGGTTAACCATACTTATAACCTTGGATCCATTTAACTGTAATTGCAGGGTTGTTTACCCTTATTTTATCCCGTTTACCATTTTTTACCTGTCTACACGTTTTTTACCAACTTGAAAAATTTAAAAAGAAGTTTGTCATAGTTTCCTTTTTTTTCTTACAATTAAACACCATTATAGGTATATTTAACATACATTTCTATATTTCAATCTTTTAAGTCCTCATACAATTCCAATAATTGAAATAATAGTTTACGGACGATATTTTTAAGTGTTATCAACGAAGGTAATGTAATATATTTGCTAAGAATTGAAATAATAGGTGTCTCAACATTAAGTGGGCATGGAACATATGCAAACCTGATATTACAAAAAAAAAAAAAAAAAAAAAGAAGTTTTTTAGCCAAAATGATCCAAGAAATTTGTAGAACTCTTAACTTTGGTCTCTGATATTTGAAATCAATAGAAGTGGTCCCTGAGTTTGTCTACCATCAATCATTTTGGTCATTCTTTAAAAAAAATCCATTAAATAAGAATAAAATGACAAAAATATTTTCAATTTTTGTCAAATCATGTTGGCCAATTGTTTATTAAATTGAGGGTAATTTTGCTATTTGGTCCTTATATAACATAATTTTCCAATGAATGATCAAAATGATTGATGGTGGACAAACTCAAAGACCGCTTCTATTGATTTCAAATCTTAGGGATCAAAGTGATGAGTTATGCAAATCATAAGGACGATTTTGGCTAAAAGGAAAAAAAAAAGTTTATATGAACTATTATCCATATACTTATGCAAAAACACATGATAGGATCATTAATCCAATTATTAATTGTTTTACACCATTAGGAGTAAGTAATTATAATCTTTTACTGCTTTCAACTGATTTTTTTTCATCCTTTGGCATTGCAATATTTCTTAAGGACAAAAGTAAAATCCACAACCACAAATTCAATGAAACTCTTTTGTCTTGCAATTTGAAGAACCCAAAGCACTAAATCTCAGCAACAATGCAAACAGACAGTGGCAAAAGTAAATTCCACAACCACAAATCCAATGAAACCCTTTTTTCTTTTTTTTTCTGTTTTTTTTTTCAATTTGCCGGAGAAGAGAGAAATATGAGCAGCGGGAGTCAGAAATTAAGGGGTAGAACTGTAATTACGCAAACATTTGTAGTTAATTTATGTAACTCGCATAGAAACTTAATATTTGTCCAGCAAGGCAGCGTGTATAAATGTGAGAGATTGTTTGGGGACCTAAGTGAATTATAATGTTTAAACGGTAACATAATCCTAGTGTTTTGTAAAGACTCAGCTCCTGGTTGCTATATAGGGATTATCTAGTAAACTATTTATTTCTTTTATGGAACTAGGAATTCCAAATTTATTGGAGGGAAAGCTTAACGATGGTGCACTGTGATGTGAGAGATTGTTCGGGGACCTAAGTGAATTATAAAATAAATGTTAACCGCCACTTGGTTTTGGGCAATTGGCGGAGATCCGATCGTTGAATCGTAATGAAATTTTAGTATGTTTTTTTATAAGCACAATATGGATCTTTGGAAGTTACAGATCAGAAATCTGAGCTGCAGATCTCCTGGATTGAGTTATGTAGGGTTGTGGACCCCACCGTCGATCTTTGACCGACGGTTGACCTTTGGTCAATGGATCTCAAATCATTTTAGAATGTCATTGAGGATGTGCTTTGTGTGAATTACTTATTATATTGATAAGAGTTCTGAGATGTAATTTGATAATTGTTATAGGCGCCAATTGTTCGGGACACCTCGATGTACGTGCTAGTGAATCATAGCGTGGGCTCCAGGTGAGTGGATCTTTTCCCCTTATCATAGGTGTATAATTGATAATTTCACAAACATTTCTAAAGTTATTTATGTATGTACCTACAAATAATTATAGTGAACTACGAATGGCTTGATCCTTGTTTAGGGTACGTATGCAGTCTAACCAGACGTTAGATGCAGCCATACAATAAATGAGACTAAATAATTGAGACAACAGCCTTGTTTGGGGAATTGAACAATGTGAAGAAGGTTGGTGGAAAAAGCGAGGTTTAACCTTATGAATTTGATGGTTAAATGTTGATCATAAATCGATATGTAAGAAATTTAGTGATTGAAGTAAAGAATCGTAAGTAGTGATAATTAATTTAAACTAGTGTTTTGCTGGGCTTGTCACTGATAATTATTCCCAAAAGTAAATGGTTCGAGAGTGGGGCGTTACAGTTATTGCATTTTAGGCCATTTGTTTATATGTTTATATATCTGGAAATATTATGATTTGGTTGAAATTCAGATTTACATCCTGGTATATCCATATGTATATTCCTTACACATAATTATTGTGAACGCTTTGGAGTGCAAGAATGAACGCATGACACACAGGTAAGTTCAGGTAAGTATACGGTATTAGTTGAACTGATGGGGTTATGGTATGACCAGTGGCGAAGCCAGAAATTGACGGGGGGAGTGGCGAAGTGCTTCACGATAATTAGGTGGATAATCAAGCATTCGACGTCTATATCCAGGGTCTGCATGAAGATTAGCCAATATTTCATCCAACTCAGTGGGCTCACTTTGTTGTGAACTACTCGGAATATTCAAAGGAGGACTTCTTATATTTGAAGGAGGAAGAGATGACTACTTGGAATATTTGAAGGAGAAGGACTACCCGAAATGTTTGAAGGAGGATTTAAGCATTGTTTCTTATAGTACCGTTCCATTACGTAATTGTAAAATGGAAAGAAAAAAAAATCTTAGACTCTTAATCCTAGAGTAGACTATACTAATATGCATAATAACCCAACCAACAATTCAATTAATCAATACCAATAAGCATATAAATTCTTAAATAAATAAAAAATTCATTCAACTAATCATATGAATACAACTAATCAAAAATTCAAATTTTAATTTTCACCCTAAAAAATAATTTCATAATTTCATATCAATCAATAATCATAGAATCATATCAATAATCAATAACCAATAACCATATTAGTGCATTACCATATGATTCTATACTAATTAAACAAAATTCGTATTAAATAATTAATTAGGGTTAGGGATTATAAATTTAGGAATTAAAAAATTTACCTTTGAAATTGAAGGCTAGAAGTCGGCTTAGCGGTTGGAGTGGCTAGTGTTAGCAGCAAAAAGCCAACAGAAATCAGCCAATGGGGATTTATTTTCCGTTCCGTTGGGGTTGGGGTTGGGGTTGGGCGTTGGCAGCAGGCTCAGGCTGCTGGGATTTTGGGAGAAGCTTTGCACTCTCTCTCTCTGATTGGGGAAGGGAGAGATTTGGAATTGTAAAGCATGACACGCGGGCTGACTAAGTGAAGGAATGGGGGACATGCCACGCGGTCCCCCCATTACATATATTATTTTTTGGTTTTTTTCAAACATTGAAAGTTTCCCGTGGAGGGGCACTAATTTGAAACAGACATGAGACATGGAGGGGCCTAACTTTGGGACATGCGGGCCACATTTTAAATTTTTTATTAATTTAAAAAGAAAAAAAAGAACCCAGTGCTGCTGCACGCAGCAGCAGACCAGTTCACCGGTGCCAAAACAGAGATGGAGGGGCTGGGTTTTCCGGTGAGGGGAGGGGCGAAACCTCGGCTTCAGCTGTGTTTTCCGGCGAGGGGAGGGGCGGTCGCCACTCCTCGTCCTCACGTGGCTTCGCCACTGGGTATGACTACATTTATATTTTAAGTAACTCTGACACGGTCGTATAGGTTGCAATAGTAGGCAACTCTGGCATTGTCGTACATGTTGCTTATGAGTTGTACATGTGGTATTAGATGCATTTAAAGCTCATAAACCTGCACCCCGGTGTTAGTGCTCCCGCCCGTGGCCAGGGCACAGTTCTTCACGTAATGTTCACCTCCCGCACCATACGATCACCTTGAATTTAAGGTAGGTGCACAAGTATGTCTTACAGACCACTATAGGTGGTTCCGACTCATAGGTGACTCTTTACGTGATCATAGCACTTGAGCGTATTCATTTACACCCAGTCCTGTCGTACAGACCACTACAGTGGTTCCGACTCGTGTGCAGGCGTAGTGTCGTATAGGTCACTAGAGGTGATTCCGGCTAGATTGAGATATGAGCTATAGACTTAGCCGTACAGGCCATAAGAGGTGGATCCGGCTGACATATTATTTGCATATGCGATGAAATATGAATACAGTCGTACGGATCACTAGAGGTGATTCCGACTTATGAGCTAGCATTGATTGATAAGATATGAATATGTCGTACGGATCACTAGAGGTGATTCCGACTTATGAGCTAGCATTGATTGATGAAATATGAATATGTCGTACATATCACTACAGGTGACTCTGACCTATGAGCTAGCATTGATTGATGAGATATGGATATGTCTGTCACGCCCCGGACCCGGGGTCGGTAGTAAAAACTTGAACCCGAATCCAAAACGCGAGTAAAACTAAATAAATAAAAGAAAATTGACACGGGTTGAAAAATGAACTCCTCTTATTAAAATAACTCCAAAACCTTACAGGGTGTACAAAAGTAATAAATTAAAATCCTTAAACTTCTCAACAACCTCAGCTTGTCCAACACCTGTCTTGCCAAATAACACTTGTATTGCCAAATAACTCATCTGTAAAATAATAGGTGAGGGGTGAGCAACAACCACCGTCGCTCAGTGAGTAGAATATGTAATATGTCAGTCAAGCTTGCCATTTTAACCACTATAAAATAGGATAATAATATCAAAGCTTTAGCCACATAATTCCATATCACATCATCCCTTTACGTGTCCATTATATCCTTCATAAATTGTAACTCACCACGTGACCCCTAATGGCCATCTGCCCTAATGTCCCCGTGTGCAGTTTACATTTATCCCTCAGATTAATGCAACACTAAAGTTCTCATGCTCCATGAACATTTCCAAATAATCCACATATCACGATATATAATAACTCCAAAACATTTCAACAAGTCCAACATGCTTGACTTGAAATAGATAGAGATTTATAAATAGATAAAACCCACAATAGTTCGTGGTTTTCATTTATCAGAAAATAAGAATACTTTGAAACACATTACATAAACCACTCACTTTGATAATCCAAGCTTTGGCAAGACAACCCAACTAACATCTCCGCACACCTCAAACTAGCTTTCCCTTTTTCTTTTCTTTCTAAGCTCTCACTCTAACGTATATATAAATATATACGCACACCACATATATATTGCATGCTCTGCATGTTTCCTTCTTTTTATGCTCCAAAAACAATGGAGCAAAGCTCCTATTTATAGTACCGAATGGCTCCAAAACTTTGTGACTCATAAAGGCACGTGTCAATTGGCATGGAATCATAACATGAGGAGATGACACCTAACTAGGTGATTAAGCTAATGATTAAATGGTGGCAATAAGATGTGTCAACTGGATGCAAGACTTGAATTGTGGAGCTACATGTCCAACCCAGCATGGTGCTTACAAGCACCTTAAAAAGGATAGGAGATAAGGCCGCATGGTAAGCTTCACACGTCCACCTTATAAACTTATGACTGAGCATAAGCATGGTTCTAGGGATTAACTAAGAAAAATATTCCAAAACTTAGCTTCAAGTCTAATAAAATAAATAATAACTTAAACATAGGGCTTTCACCAATATAAAATATGGGTTCTCACAATTGTAAGATCCCGTATTTAATGTGTATACATATGTACATGTACGTATGTATTTATATGTATGTATATATAATTAGTTTGTTTTGACTGACCCACCTGGCCACTTAGAAGCCAACACAAATATTTTGAATGAGATTGCCATCTCTTCTTGCGGTCTATGACTTAAGACCACGTGTACTCACCTGAATTAGTTGCTATCTTCTTTCTCCTCAGTGCCTACAACTAGCTTAACAGCTGTGGTCAGCCGCCAACTTCAACCAATAAGGGGCTTTGTAGTTTCCGTTTAGTAACCTATAAATAGGAGATCAACTCCATTGTTTTCGAACACAAGCTAGCATGCACTGCATGCTCTGGAGCTCATATAGTGTTTATATGTGTGTGTGTGTATATACACATACATATGCTGTGCGTGTATATATTTATATATATATAGAGAGAGAGAGAGAGAGAAAGAGAAGGGAGTAAGAAACCAGAAGCTGAGGTGCTTCTTAATCGGCGGTGTCAAATCTGTAGCAGGATAAATATGGGTAATGATTCTCAGATTTTCTTTAGTCTTTCCATAGCTCTAGCCTCTATATATTGTAGAACTCAGTCGTGTTTTATCTATGTTGGTTGTATTATATATGTGTGTATATCTGCATAGACGTTTGGCTATCAGACTTTACAATTGGAGATAATCTTACCTACACAAAAGTGATAGGACTGAACCTATACATAATTACCACATGCTAAATATGATCTCTTACCTTTATTAGAGGTTGTTATATAAAAGAGGGCTTAAGCATATTAATTCGAACATATATCTTTCTTATTGGTTGAGAGAAACTATATATGTATATGCTGGTATTCATGCATATAACTTTGCACAAGTCTGAGTAAACCAAGCTAGCTTTCTCAGCATGGAACTATCTGCATATATTCATAGGTATAGTTTCAACTGTATCAAGTAAAGCATGTGTTTGGAGTTGATCAACATATAATAACTTGTGAATTAGTATTGCGGAATCGATAAACTTAAATACATTAATTAGGATTAGAGTTCATGTCATGCATTTGGTAATTTGCTTATATATGTGGTTTAATATACTTATTCATTAATCATATGAAAGACTTTATTTAATTATTGGCTAAAGTTATGTTCCCAGCTTAAACACCAAAAAGACAGCATGCATATTTATATTTGTATTTCACATGTCCCTTGTTCTGCAAGTTGTACTCATTCAAACGTTCTGTTATGACCATGTTATTATTTTAGATCAACCAAAAGGGCATTTGAAATAGGTGTTGTTAAGTTAGTAATCTCAAGTGCTTTGACTGGGATTAAAGTTCTTGTCATATAGTGATTTTCTTATACTTGTGAATAGGAGCTTATCACAGTTGTGGTTTCTTGTGTTAATATCTCGGAGCAATGCTTTGGAATCCAGGTAGGGGAAATACAGCAGACCTTTACGGAGATTGGCTTTATTAAATTTCGTGAAGCATTATACTATTATTATCGATCTTGTTGGTTGATTAATGTGATATGGGTTGCTAATTGGACAAATACTGCTCTTGCGTGTTTACTTGTTATTGGTTATGGAATTATTGATGAAATGCTATTGGTTGAGAATATACTATGGTATATGTGAATGATAAATGAAAATATTTGTGAATCATTCATAATTGGTCGTGTGGTTGGAGTTTCAGTGGTGAGAAGGAATTGGAAATGAGGGTAGTTGGAAAGGATCTTTTGTGTAGTTGAGCCAAACTCTTAGCAGGTACCAGGTCTCAGGCGAGCCCACAGTGCACAAATTCTTTAAGGGTAATTCGGGACTGGCGACGAAGGGTTTTGGCAAGATGACTAACAAAAGGGGAAATTGGGATGATTGAGTTACAGGGGGTTAATTTGTGTATTAAAACATTCGAACCACCACTGCAGAGGTAAAATGCACGGTATGGGACGTGCAGGTCCGCGTGTTTTATTATATGAATTAACGGGTAGAGATGAAGAGTATTGCACTGCACTCATGCATTGTTATCGATGATGATTTGATACTGATTATAAGATGTCATGATACTTAATTTAATATTGTCAATATACTATGGTAAGGTTATGTCCCTACTGAGCTGTTGAAGCTCACCCCTCTATTGTTATGCAGGTTTACGAACTAAACAATCTAAGAGGTTAGACGGGATGAGATCGGATTAAGTGTGAGGATAGAATTTTGTATTTCTTTATTTTGGCCTTGTAAAGAACTATTGAGTTATTTTAAATAAGAAGAATTTTATTTTCCAACCCGTTTCAGTTTTACTTTAATTATTTAGTTTTTAGTTCGCGTTTCGGATTCGGGTTCAAGTTTTTACTACCGACCCCGGGTCCGGGGCGTGACAATGTCGTACAGGTGACTCCGATTTATATGCTAGCAACGATTGATGAGATATTGATTCAGCCGTACAGGCCATGTTAGGTGACTCCGGCTAACATGTTGATGAGATATATATGTTTATTGAGATCTATGTCATGATATTCATGTGGACTTTGTTATGCCGTGTATGGGATTGAGATAGACATGTATTCTATTTTCTGGGAAATTATACAGGTGTTACGGCGAGGGGCTACTACCTTTGGTAATTGAAATTGGTTTGAAAAGTTTTGTTTCACTCACTCACATTTTTCTATTTTTGTACCCCTCTAGGTTCTAGCAGCAGAGTTCCGTATCGACGAGGATTCGTGGCACTTTTCAGTACAGATGTCTTCTTATGATGGTATAATAATTATCTTACCTTATTGTACTAATGCTCTGTATCATGTGTGAAATTGGTCCAGACCCGCTCATCGCGCACTCGTGTACTTAACCACTTTTAGATTTTAATTTATTCACATTTTATACATTATCACCCTTATGACTTCGTCACCTTCCAAGTGTCGGCCAGCACGGCTCGATTCGGGGTCCTAGTGGACATTCCGGGTCGTGGTGTGTTAGTTGTTGCTGTTGAAAAACAATGTGATATATGTGAAAAATGAAATGACATATTGGTGGTCTACTCATGTTGGGAGTTGAGGATGGAACTATGGTATTGAGAAAGGAACTGAGGGTAGTGGAAATGATTCAATTTTTTTTTGTGTGTATAGTTGTGTTTAACTCTCTCAGGTAGGGATGGACAGCAGTTATGTCAGGTGGGTAACCGCGGTTATTAATCTATAACTGTTTAAGCTCTTACTCGCATAACTGTTTACGCATAGGATGATTGCATAAAAGGTTATACACATACTCATAATCCTTTATAAACAGTTAACCATACCTATATTCGTGTACACATTTAACCATAACAGCATAGCCATTTACCCTTTTTTTAACCTGTCCACATTTTTTTAACAATTTGAAAATTAAAAAAAAATTGTCATAATTTCCTTTTTTTGACAATTAAACATCGTTATGGTATCTTTAACATGCATTTCCATATTTCAATCTTTTAAGTTAGTCATACCATTCCAATGTTTTTTTTTTTTTTTGAGTCGAGCGATAGCATTAGTAAGTTAGATGTTAGATTAGCTACTGACGAAGTTCGAACCCATGCCGTCATGCAAAAGCACAACACATTTTCACCACTGTAGTAAAGGGTCATCAATGAAAGTAATATAATATATTTGCTAAGAATTGAAATAATAAGTGTCTCAGCATTACGTGAGCGTGGAACATAATCAAACCTGATATAAAAAAAAATCTATATGAACTACCATCAATATAGTTAGGCAAAAACACATGATAGGATCATTAATCCAATAGTTAATTGTTTTATACTATTAGGAATAAGTAATTATAATCTTTTACTGCTTTCAACTGATTTTTTTTTCATCCCTTTGCATTGCAATATTTCTTAATTAAGGACAAAAGTAAAATCCACAGCCACAAATACAATGAAACTCCTTTGTCTTTCAATTTGAAGAACCAAAAGCACTAAACTCAGCAACTAAGCAAACAGACAGTGGCAATATAGTTTAGGGTTTTTAGTTTTTATTTTTATTTTTTTTGTAATTTGCTGAAGATGAGAGAGAGAGAGAGAGAGTCAGAGTTGAGAGAGGGCGGAGATGAGAGAAAGATAAGCGGCAAGAGCCTGGCAGAGGTTGGATAAGTTATGTTCGTACTAAGCTGTTGAAGTACGCCCTTCTATTGTTATGCAAGTTTTCAAATTAGACAGTCAAGGGTAGGCGAGATGAGATTGAATTAGATGTGAGGTTAGAAGTTAATTTATTTATTTTCTTTGTAGCCATGTAAAGAGTTCTTGAGTTTCATTTTATAAGAAGAATTAATTGTTTCAGTTTCTTTTTGTTCTATTTAATTTTTATTTTTTTTTACTTTTGGGTCACATTTGGGATTCAGGATTTTCTAGTGACTCGAGTCCTATGTGTGACACAAACGCACCCTAAGTTTAACGATTAGGGACAATGATGTGCGTACTATATCGAAAACATAAGTGAAATGCAGTAATCCCTATTTATTAGGCTTAACAGATAAACAAAAGAAAAACAATTAATGATAATAGAGTGGAATGAGAAGTGAGAAACATACTTGTTTGATCTCTCCCAGAGATTGCTATCTTTTTAAACAGTTCCCAACTTTCCTTATCATCTAGCGCACGAGATTCATGAATGAAACCATTGCCTCCAGCAATTTCAGCAACGTCCTTCTTCCGAGTGGTGAGTAATATACGACTCTTTGTTTCCTCACCTATTGGAAATCCAGGTTTTAAAGAGTTCCACCCATCATGAGTCCAAATGTCATCAAGAACCACCAAACATTTCTTTTCTTTTTGGAGGATACAAAGCTTCTCTGCTATTTGATCCTTCTTCATTTTCGAAATTTCTTCTATTTCCTCTTTTTTTGTACCGCGAGTAAGCTTGATCAAAATATCTTCCAAAACCTCTTTTCCTTGACATTGTTGTGACACACACACCCAAGCAAAATAATCGAAGTGACGCTTAACAACTTCATTGTGATTATAAACTTGTTTTGCAAGAGTGGTCTTTCCTGAACCGCCTATCCCCCAAATAGATACAACTTGAGGATAGTTTTCTTCTTTCACCAACTGCGTGGCTAGTATCTCCACGTCCTTCTCTAACCCGACAACATCACGTTCAATAACATGAGGATAAGTTTGTCTTTGTTCCTTTTGCTTCTCAAAAGAAGAGGCACCTTCATATTGTGTACCCGTTATTTGTTTGATGTTATAACCTTGCAATTTCGACCTCAAATCGGAAAGTTTGGCCGTAATGCTCTTAATTTCTGAACCGATCTTGTGACGATTAATGACTTCGTTAAGGATGCAAGCAAACCTTTTCAGAACAAGCTTCACACTTCCTCCCCTTTTGAGAGTCACTTTCAAGGCAAAAGATTCAATGACATCCTCCAAATCATAACCAGCATCCCTTGTAGTTCGAACCCAAATGCGTACTACTTCACTGTCTCCTTGTTTTGCATCTGCATCTTTCAGGAAGCCCTGCATCAAAAGTAGCTCAGTTTGTGCATGCTCAATTTGATCGCGGACTCCACTAAAAAACTTCACTTCCTCAACGAGAGTGCCTGTGAGCCCTTCAATTACCATTGAAACTACGGCCTCAGCCATATTTCTAATTTCGGCCAAAAGAAAAAAGCTAAACCAGCTTTCTTTCCGATTTCTGCTTCTCTGATTGATTCAAGTGGTTGGCCAAAAGAAAAAAGCTAAACCAGCTTTCTTTCCGATTTCTGCTTCTCTGATTGATTCAAGTGGTTAACCGGAGAAGTCTCTTCTGTTTTTCTCAGCTACACATGCTCTTTATTCAATTGGATCTGTACAACTACCGGTCAACTATTCATCATTTTCTACATTCCATCACTAACGGTTAATTGGATCTGTACAACTACCGGTCAACTATTCATCATTTTCTACATTCCTATCTAATATCTCTAGTTTTGAAATAACTAAATAAATAAATAAGAAAAGAAGTTATTGCTTTTTTCTTTCTTTTTTGTTCATTTATAAAGCTTTTGTCTTTTTTTGTCCATTTATAAACCAAAAGCTTACCAACCGGCAAAGCCTGAAATTCTTCAACTCCTTACTACCCATTTTATTTTATTTTTGCTAATTAACCACTCAGTCTCTATTTTTAGTGTGAATGATACATCTTTATTAATTTTCATAAGTAATACAATCAATACGCTACTTTAAATGTATATACTTCCTTCAATTTCGGAAGGAAATTATGTAAAATAATACATGCCTCGCAAATGAGCCTTTTTCAATGACATTTTTCATTTCAAGGGCTGTTCTTTGTTTCAAGTCTCCAAGTTTTTTTCATTTTGGTTGGCTTTTATGTATGAGTAACGCTAAGTAGAGCAATTTTTTAAGTGAATTTCCAATAAAAACTAACAAAATGGTGGTACATTCGCATTAAAAGTAAAATCTTGGTTAGTTGTCAAAAGAATTTCTTTAAGGGATATTTGCAAAAATCCTAATTGTCCAAGTGGTGTTTCGAATTTTATTAAAACAAAGACGAAGAACAAAAAGTTAAAGATATTTTGTAAAGATCGATTATGACATCCATGCTTTTAGCAAAGATCAAAGTTGGAATGGCCCATTCTTTCATTCTTTCTATATTTCCCTTTTTCGTTTGGCATGGAAGTCACAATATTGAAGACACTTTACATCAAAATATAAAGGAAAATAAAACAAGTAGTGAATTAACATAGTTTTCTTTTTTCAAACAATTGCGTTTTGTATTTAAACTCTTTCACCTTTTTTTTTTACTAAAGATTAGAGCAGAATTTTGTTTGTAATAAAAAAAACACATAATAAAAATTATACAAGAATCTCTTTGAATAAACTTTTCAACATCTTAACCAACATCCTTTGAGAAGTAAAGAAAGATGATCGATCACTAACAAAATTTTACAAATTAACCATCCCTTCCGTTTCAATAGGATGGCTCTTTGCCTTGTAATATCAACCAAACAAAAAACAATAATTCTTTTGGTGGGTTTTTCTTGGTTTGTTCTCCATAATTTTATATTTTCCAATTGGCCATAATTTCCTATTTGCTTCATTTTCCTTCAACCCCCTCATCCACCACCTCACCTTTACAAATCACAATACCCAGTCAACTTGATCATCTCCACTGTGATCTTGCCACGTGGAATGACCTGAAAGCTAGATAACAATCTCCACCAATATTCCCCCAGTCTCAAATCAATCTGGCTACCGCAACGGACCATGTCCGTACAGTTTTGTTAGGGAACCCACACCCACCAAAACCATAGAAGCCGAGGGATCCACCTGACTCAGGACCAAGGAAGAAAATATCGGTAATATCGAAAATATCGGTAATATCGAAAATATCAGTAGTCCGAAAACACGGAAATATCGATGGAAATATCGGGATAATATCGATATCGATAAAAATTACATGGAAACCACGGAAATTATAAGAAAAACTTGGAAATTTTTATTGAAACTTTGCAGGATGTTTATTTAGTCAATTATCTATTAGTTTATCACAAAAAATTGGAAGGAAATGCATTGCATGATGAATTTAATTGATTTAAGTTGATAATATAGCGAGCTGGCAAACATTGTGAATGTAGAAAATATGTAGTAATTAATGAAAAAAATTTAAACACACCAAAATCATTTATATATAATGAAATTAACAAATGTGGAACAAACAATTTGAAAAGTAAGAGAAAAACTGACAATAATATATACATGTGCAATATGGAAACTTTCACACGGCATTTCTAGCCACATGTCAGATCTCACAATTTCCTCATATTTAATTATCTTTTAGAAACGTAGAGGGATTCGTGCAGGGCTCTCTCGATCCTTCTCCCACAGTCTCCTTGTTTCTTCTTCTGCCCCCCATCTCTTCTCTGCAACACACGCAGACCGCACACACCACACACGCACACACCACACACCACACACCACACACGCAGTCTCTCCTTCTCTCCCTCAATCTCTCCGTCGTCCGTCCATCCTTCTCCCTCAGCCTCGATCTCGATCCTTCTCTCCCTCAGTCTCTCCGTCGTCTGTCCATCCTTCTCTCTCAGCATCGATCTCGATCCTTCTCTCCCTCAGTCTCTCCATCCGTCCATCCTTCTCCCTCAGCCTCGATCTCGATCCCACGGATCGCCGACGCTGAGCATCGACGAGTCGCTTCCGGCCAGAAAATTCCTCCAGTCGTGGAAAGACACGGTGTATTCTCAGAAACCCACCTCCATCCTCATCATCTCCGGCCACTGGGACACCGCTGTCCCCTCCGTCAGCTCCATTTCTAGCCGCTACAGCACCATCTACGACTTCTATGGCTTCCCCAGATCCATGTACCAGATCAAGTACCCCGCCCCTGGCTCCCCCCACCTCTCCAACCGCGTCAAGCAGCTGCTGACCTCGTCGGGCTTTGGCCGCGTCGACGTGGACACCCAGCGGGGGCTCGACCACGGCTCCTGGGTCCCTCAGTCTCTCCGTCCATCCTTCTCCCTCAGTCTCTCCATCCTTCTTCTTCTCCCTCAGTCTCTCGATCCTTCTCCAGTTCTCCCCCCCCCCAATCAAATCCGAGCGGGTTTTGGGATCTGGAGAAAGGGATTGCTCATTTTCAGGGTCTGAGCGTGGATTGCAGAGAGAGGATTGCTCATTTTCAGGGTCTGAGCGTGGATTGCTCATTTTTGGCTGCCGTTGCGACGACGACGGAGGATCCTCGGCGATATTATGGTTAATATCGCGATAATATCGTTAATATCGCGATATTATCGATATTAGCGATATTATCGCGATATTATTACGATAATTAACTGTAAACGTTGAAAATATCGCTATGTGAAAATAACGATATTATCGACGATATTTCGCCGATAATATCGATATTTAATTCCTTTCTCAGGACCATGCTGGCTCTACGTCAAGATCCTTTTCTCCCGGGCCCATGACCACTGGCCGTGCCCCACGGGCAAGGACCATGCTACCCTTCCTTTTTCATCCTGTTACACGGCTACATGGCACGTGGCTGCGAAAAGAGACATGATTTTGCTTACACCATGTTCTTGGGCAAGCCACGATTGTCAAACTGGGGAATCAACGGTGGAGATTGAAGGGGTTCCAATAATTTGGTGATTCCATAATTTTCATGTGGTTTCTTTCCGCATGGACCCTATCATGTGGCCTACTAAATGAGTTGTCGAACTGAATTTTCGTCATTGGTTTCTTCTATAATAGATGAAGAAATGCTATTTGTGTCAAATAATTAAGCAAATGTGATTTGCGAAACAAATTTTTTTTTCTTATCATATATTTGTGTTATATTTCTAATAAAAGTAAGACTCATCAATATATGTAGATTTCATCTTTATTACAATAATAGTATAAATAATGGTACAAATAAATAAGGGAATTATTATTAGTACTTCAAAAATCTCATTTTACAATCCTCACAAATCTTTTTTTTTTAATTATAGAAAATTTGGAGTTTCAAATGAGATTTTTGAAATGCTAATAACAATTCCCATAAATAATAAGGATAATATTAGTCTTTTGCAAAATGTGCCAATTGCTAGATCATTTCTTTTATAGCAGGCTAATATTGTTTTATTCTTTATAATGTGTGGGTTGCTGTCTGACGTTATTTTGGTAGCTATTTGATGGAGCGAGTCGATTTTATTAGAGTTCGGGCGAATTAATTTTCACTATTTACGTGGCCTTCTTAAAGTTACCACTCAGTTTCAATTAGTTGTGATTTCGTAGCTAATATTGTTTTCTGATTCTTGGTCTTTGCACCTTTCTGAATCTTGGTCTTTGTTTCTCAAGTAAACTGTCGATATGTCTCCTGAACTACCACCTAACTTTCGATTTTTCCCCTGAACTTTTTAATTGGAAAATTAAGGATTTAAACTAATTTTTTTTTGCCGATTTACACCCTTCTGTTAATTTTTCATTTATTTCATCCAATTTTTTGTTAAATGAAAGCATGTGCATAACAAGTGTAGGTAGTTTGGTCGCTTCATTCTTTAAAATAATTGAAAACCTTAGATTTCTAAAATATAAACCTATGCAAATATGTGTGATTCTATAGCTTTTGTGTCTAAAGGTCTAGTGAAGTGACGCTTTTATCCACAAAGGAGAGTTACATGGTGTGCACATGATAATAGTTAACGTTAATTTGGATGAAATATATGAAAAACTAATGGTAGGGGAAAATCGGCCAAAAAAATTAGTTTAAGTCCTTAATTTTCCAATTAAAAAGTTCAGGTGGGAAATCAAAAGTTGAGTGATAGTTCAGATGCCAAATTGGCAGTTTAGCCTTGTTTATTCAATTGGATTTGTACAACTAGCGTTCGACTACTCGTATTCCTAGTTGTGTTACCTTTATCCATCAACTAAATTATTGATTCATTTTTAAATATGTTCTTAAAATCAAGTGTCTGAGTCTTAGTTTTTGTTTCTTAATAAAAAAATCTTTGTTTTTTAACAAAAAATAAAGTATTTGTTGCAGCAACTTGAGCAAATTGTTAGTTGTGTTACTTATAATCTTTGTTTATAAACCAAAAAAGAAAGTATTTGCTGCAGCAACTTGAGCAAGTTCACTACAAAAAAAAAAAAAATTCTCCAGGCAAAATACATTTTTATTGCCTACAACTTTGCTCAACAACATTCCGCCAGGCATAGATCGTCGTGTAAAACTCGTCGCTCAAATTTTTGCCTAACGGATAATAAACATTTGTTGGACGAATAGAATTAGCCTGACAAAAATAACTTGAGCAAGTTATTAGGAGTGTTACTTAGATCCCTTAGCTAAATTATTGATTCATTTTTAAATATGTTATTAACATTGCAAGTTACT